GTACGTGCTTGAGTTCACTGCTTATGTGTTCCTGGTCGGATATGCATTGGGCTCTATGATACAGAGTCTTGATGAGAGAATTCTTCTGTGATGGATGGTGGTGGGAATCCGGTTTCAGATAAGCATCCGTATGGGTAGCTTTCCTGTAGACAGAGTGGCTCATTGAACCATCAGGTCTCTTTTTAATTAGGACATCCAAAAAAGGTATCTTGCCATCTATTTCGACTTCCATGGTAAATCTGATGGCTGGGTGTATGGAATTGATGTGGTCGAAGAATTGGTCTAGAGCAGGCCGGCCATGTGGCCAGATGACAAAAGTGTCATCCACGTACCTCTTCCATAAGGTTGGGCGCAGAGTGGCAGTCTGGATGGCGTCAGTCTCAAATTTCTCCATGAAAATGTTAGCTATAACTGGAGAAAGGGGGGAGCCCATTGGGGTGCCCTCAGTTTGTTTGTAGAAAGTTCCATTCCAAGTGAAGTATGTATTGGTTAAACAGTGTCTCACCAGGGGGGGTACCTCAGTGTTTAGTCCTTGATGAACCAAGTCTTCAATGATTGCAATGGTGTCAGGTACAGGAACCTTGGTGAATAAGGAAACTACATCAAAACTGACAAGCAGGTCGTCTGGGGACAGGGAAATACCCTTGATTGTTGATACCAGGTGAGTAGAATTTTGTACCGCAGAGGTGGTCTTTCCAGTGAAAGGACGCAGGATTTCAGACAAAAAACGAGCTAGTTTGTAGGTGGGGGAGCTGATAGTAGAGACTATGGGACGAAGAGGTGTATCAACTTTATGTATTTTTGGTAAGCCGTATAATCTTGGTGGCCTGGCAGCAGAAGGTTTCAACTGAAAACTGTTTAGATTGATCAATTAATGCGGTTGAATCAGAAATTATTTTGTTGGTTTGTGTGACGAGGCTGTTGGTGGGATCTCTTTTTATTTTTGTATAACTACCATCGTCGAGTAATTCTTTAATTTTGTTGTTGTATTCTATTTTATCCATGATAACAGTAGCATTGCCTTTGTCAGCTGAGAGAACTACAATATCATTCCTCTTTTTTAATTTATATAATTCAAAACGCTCATCTTTGCTGAGGTTGTAACTTCTTCTAATGCGAAACGAATTCTTTTCAAAACTAGCTTAGCTCTTATCTCAGAAAAAATCAGACTTATACGCACAGAACTAGATCAGTTAGACAAGACACTCTACAAATCACACTTATCATTGACGGCAATAATGTCCACATCGGATTGGGAACATGTAGACAATATGACTGCCTCTTCAGCTGCTACTATGTCGACCAAATGTAAGGAAAACCTGATTTCCAAATTTAACCTCCTCTTAAACAAAAGACCGGACCCACACACCAAAAAGTTAGACGTTAATAAAGTCGTAATTAATCGCAGTAACAGTTCTATTTCCGATGGTCTGAAATCCGTTTTAGCTAAAGGTCTAAACTTTGCAGTCACACCTAAACACATACCAGTTAATGATATAATTGCCCAAGTAGACGTTGCTCTCAGGGGCCTGGGTCACATCGCTGCAGACGTAGCAAGATCTGAAATCGCTGCAACCCTCAAAAACGCTAAGATGCCAGCTAGCAACCTCAGCAAAGATGAGCGTTTTGAATTATATAAATTAAAAAAGAGGAATGATATTGTAGTTCTCTCAGCTGACAAAGGCAATGCTACTGTTATCATGGATAAAATAGAATACAACAACAAAATTAAAGAATTACTCGACGATGGTAGTTATACAAAAATAAAAAGAGATCCCACCAACAGCCTCGTCACACAAACCAACAAAATAATTTCTGATTCAACCGCATTAATTGATCAATCTAAACAGTTTTCAGTTGAAACCTTCTGCTGCCAGGCCACCAAGATTATACGGCTTACCAAAAATACATAAAGTTGATACACCTCTTCGTCCCATAGTCTCTACTATCAGCTCCCCCACCTACAAACTAGCTCGTTTTTTGTCTGAAATCCTGCGTCCTTTCACTGGAAAGACCACCTCTGCGGTACAAAATTCTACTCACCTGGTATCAACAATCAAGGGTATTTCCCTGTCCCCAGACGACCTGCTTGTCAGTTTTGATGTAGTTTCCTTATTCACCAAGGTTCCTGTACCTGACACCATTGCAATCATTGAAGACTTGGTTCATCAAGGACTAAACACTGAGGTACCCCCCCTGGTGAGACACTGTTTAACCAATACATACTTCACTTGGAATGGAACTTTCTACAAACAAACTGAGGGCACCCCAATGGGCTCCCCCCTTTCTCCAGTTATAGCTAACATTTTCATGGAGAAATTTGAGACTGACGCCATCCAGACTGCCACTCTGCGCCCAACCTTATGGAAGAGGTACGTGGATGACACTTTTGTCATCTGGCCACATGGCCGGCCTGCTCTAGACCAATTCTTCGACCACATCAATTCCATACACCCAGCCATCAGATTTACCATGGAAGTCGAAATAGATGGCAAGATACCTTTTTTGGATGTCCTAATTAAAAAGAGACCTGATGGTTCAATGAGCCACTCTGTCTACAGGAAAGCTACCCATACGGATGCTTATCTGAAACCGGATTCCCACCACCATCCATCACAGAAGAATTCTCTCATCAAGACTCTGTATCATAGAGCCCAATGCATATCCGACCAGGAACACATAAGCAGTGAACTCAAGCACGTACACCAAGCTCTTAGGGCTAATGGTTACTCCGACTATACAATCCGCAAAGCTATCACTCAAACCATGAAGAAGAACCCTCTTGAGGAGCCTTTCAAAACCATCACTTTACCCTACATTGCTGGGATCACAAAAAAGATCTCCAAAATCTTGAATAAACACAAGATCCAGGTCCGTTTCAACACATTACATAAAATCCGTGATCTGGTTCTGTCTGTAAAAGATGTGATTCCGGACATACAATACCCTGGTGTCTACAAACTAAGTTGCCTCTGTGGTAGTAGTTACATTGGAGAAACCAAACGCCATATCTCGGACCGCATTCGTGAACATAAAGCAGACCTTAAACACGGTAGGACCAACACCTCGGCCGTAGCAGATCATTGTTCTAATTCAGTAGGCTCACATGCCATTGACTTTTCCAAGACGGAGGTTCTTTGTAAGCCATCTGGCTTCCATGAGAGATTCGTTCATGAGGCTATCCACATATACAAACACAGAGACAATTTCAACCGAGAAGATGGATTCTATCTTAGCAATCATTGGAAAGATTTGATAAATCATTTCAGTTCTTGATTGATTGTTCACGCTTACAGTGGCTTTCAGACAGCATACATAAAAACAAATTTCGTCTCCCCCCTCCTCTTTTCAAAAAATAGATGGACTAGTCCTGGCAAACATGCCAATCGTTGCGCGTGACGCAAACGTTATTTTATATATAATAAATAAATATGCCGTTTTCAAAATAAATTTATGCAAACCGACACACCTGATGATGACCGTTTGAGTTATGGTCGAAACGTCGTGAGAATTTTTTATTGTTTTATATATATTTTGTTATTTTGTTGTTTCTCTTCAACGTGACTTTACCGAAAAAACTAAGAATAGGACGTATTGTTGTTTCTGTTCAACATTGCCCTACAAAAGCCTCCTCTCCAAGCAACGACCAGGCAAACAACGCGATGGGTGGAATCTTCTTTTACTTTCCGAGTTCCCTGTCACAGTAAGCGACTGAAATCTTGACTAAGTCTAAATTAGTTAAAGCCAGCACATGGCTCATCTTAATACCAGAATCAATGAGCTATTTTTAACCAACTCCCACCTCCGTCCTAGCTGCGTAATGTATGCCGTCCATGTGCGCTGCTGCTTCGCACTGTATGGGCTGAGAGAGGCTTTGTCAAATTAAGCGTTAAGTGCCACTTTTGGAACTGTCACTTGTATGCGAGCCAGCAGTGATTTATAGGTATCATTCACCGCTGATTCTAGCCATGGCCGGGATTCGAACTAAAGTTCGCTGGGTTCATAGCACAGTGCCTGAATCATAGTGCCACTGCTCTACAGCATCAATATTGTTCCTTTCTCATATTCAGGAATTTCTCCGTAAGTCTCAATACCCTTTCAGCAAAGCACTGCATCAGGGTGTTTGGCCAGTTCCCCATTGTGTGCATGCATATGGCAGGAGCGCCATAGTGGCTATGAGACGTTAACTACCTCGCCCGGTATACAGGAGGTCGTGGGTGCAATCCCGACCCTGACGCCTGCTGCTGTATATTTGGAGTTTTCACGTCCTCCCCGTGGTCGCGTGGATTTTTCTCCGGGTCCTCCAGTTTTTCACTCCGTATTTAGAAACATCCGATCCGAATATTTGGGTGATATACATTTCCACATGATAACCCGCTTCGTTGAGCTATTATTTGTGGTCAGGTCGCTTATGAAAACGAGCTGCAGGATATAGCTCAGTGAGCCCTACCTGTTTAAAATAAAAAAAAACGTTTCGTTTAATCGAAAACTTAAGTACCCATTCAAATTTCGATTTCAAGCTTTCGTTAAATAATAAAAAATTAAACGTAATTTATTATGTTATATTTCTATTATTTTATTTCCATTCGACGTGACTTTACCGAAAGAACCAAGAAGATGTATCCATAAAAAATCCACACATGCGGGGGGGGGAATAAAGTGCAAAGTCGCATATCCAACTTACTGGGGACTGGGGTACATAGTAAGCAGATATGTGAAAAGGTCAGAGATGTAAACATAGTGCAGAAAATATGTTACACCACGCACCAATAGGTTACTGGGGACAGAAAATAAGTACAAACTGCTTTAAACATAGGAAAACGCTTTACCGTGGCTTTAGAAGTGAGCAAATGTGAAAAGGTCAAATTGGTGAACTTCTGTAGAAAACGTCAGTTACACTTTGAGCATAGCCACTTGTTGTGGACGGCTGACTGGTCAGGATGGATACGTGAAGGTGGGGTGCGTCGTGTTGTTACTGTACAGTGTACAACAATTTGCACCTCCAGATCGTGAATATCCTGAAGACCTCGCAGCAGGCCGAGAGTTTGAAAGTCCCCGAGATGGAATTCGTGCAGGAATTATGGGAGCAATGCAGTGGTGATCCAATTTTCTTGCGCTGCAATCCAATAGTTACATCAAAGTCTTCGACCACAGACATCGTTAATTGGAGCCACACGACTGAATGCCTTATGTGACTAGCAACACGCCTAAAAGCAGCACGGATAACGAGGCCTCTGCATAGTACATCTGCACAGGGGCTCACATTCATTTAAAGAGCAAACAAGGCTCTACACTCCTCGTGCAGTGTGCAAAGATCCAGCATGGTGGACACAATGTGGGTAACCATGCCAGCATTCACGCCCACAAAGGAATGTGCTTGCCTCCTTTAACCATGCCAAAGCTGCTATAGAATACTAGTAAAAGTGTTTAGCATAAATTACGCGATCAATTTAAAGCTCGTGGCATGTCCTGGTTGACATGTTCAATTTTACAACAACAAAAACCCACAACGATACGAAATTGCCCAACAAAAATGGTCTTTTTCATACAGTGCGGTATTACTTTATGAATGTAAAGGTTACCAACAATTGTATAATTAATTCCAATGAATGGTATACGGTGCTGGAGAGTACACGGAATTTTAAAGTTGCCCGTGTGCATGCAGAATATATTGCTGTAATTATACAGCACACGGTACGAGTCGAGTACGTCTCACCAGTTGGAAAATAGTGGGCTACCGTCTAAATCTGGCCCATTTTAAATCATGGTTACACTACTTGCCTGGACTTGTCTGTGTGTTTGCACAGTCTTTGCATTGGAATGGAAGTGGCCCTTACAAACTAAACACTGGCAACAGCATGAAAGGCACTGTGTTTGTAAAGTATGGACCAGGCATGCATGCAGAACATGCAAAAAACTTTTTGCACCATATGCAATATGGGGCAGAAGGTGCTAGAAAGCTCACTTAATACACAACATTGAATAACTGGTCTGCAGGATGTGGCTCAGTGATTCAGTACCGTATTGTATACAAACACTCGTCGCTTGAAATGTTTTGAAGGCTGTACATACATTACTTATCTGGTTGGATGGAACAGAGGTAAGAACGCTTCAGTAACAATCAAAAGATTTGAATCAAAAGGTTTCGAGTTCAAATCCAAGTTGGGGGTCAACTCAGTCCATCATCTACCAATTGAGGATCACTATTAGCCCTTTCCACTGTTCAAATAAGGCGTACTGGGTCAAAACCGAGCCAGCCCAGCATTGCTGAGGTTCCAGGTGTTTTTTCCACTGCAGAACCCGAGCCGTGCCATCAGCGAATGAGTCGTAAGACACATATATGATGCGGTGACGCTGTGTTTCAGTCGTGCTGACGCAATGAACGCGTTTTTGACCCATCCCTGGCCCTGCTTGGCTCCGAATCAGATTTGGATGTCTTGTGAAGCCAGAGTAGCATGGTTTGGTTCTGGCTCAGCGCAGACAATAGCCAATGGAAAGCCACCCTTACTGCGAGGCTCAACTTAGATGTACCAGACAAATAGGGGTATATGTGGGAAGTCAACAGATACAGACCCCCAGCACAGTAATTCTGAATTTCCACAACTGGCTGGGCATCACCAACTGAGATTAGCACTGCTGAATGCTCATTTGATCATGGAAATTGTGTGATTTTAACACACTGCAGTACAGTATATCAATTAAAAATTTTAAACGTTCAAATTACATGCATCGAAGTGTGTGCATTTGAGACTGTATTATTTATTGTATTTTTACACACACGATATGATTACGTTTATGAAAATAACGCAATACATTCTAAACATGTCAACTATGTTATTTAAAAAAAAATCTACATTTACTACGTGGGCCAAAGAAAAAAATCGATTAATTTAATCATGACCCATTTCTCAAATAATTATACTGTACTTGATTAATCTCGAGCGGGTGTGAATCATTGCATGCCTTTTTTTATACTTCTCAGCCCTAATGCTTAAGCGCATTAGCTCCATCTGCCCGTCTGTCTGTAAAAAGGGTGCACACATTAACTCTCGTGAAGTTGATCCAATGAGCAAAGTTGGGTTTCCACCCTGGAGAACACTGGCTAAATTGATCTCAGGGTTCTCCACAAGCTATCCAAGCCCCTTTTGTATCATATCATGGCTTACGGACGTGCTGCTTCCTGCGAGCCTGACACTAATAGTGCCACGATCGTCGCCCATTAAATACTAACGGACAAACGCACGTTGGGGTTTGTTAGAGAACCCATGCTTGTTTCATACGTATGTTCCAGTTGAGTACTAACAATTGTACATTACTGTATAGTAATTGCAATTGCATTACAGATTATATCATATTCATGAAATCTATTGATTGTTATACATATATGTGCAGTAATATATAGCAGTACTGATAGTATCACAGAAGCAGTAACTTACATGAGTGGCTTGTTTTTTGTCGGGAACGTTCCGTTTTATTGTACAACCGTTATCTGACAGATATTGCTTAACATGACAGGCCTTGCCATCACTTTAATCCACCCAAAGAAAATACTTCATTTATTGAACCGTAGAGTGCACGCACTTAAGTTTTTACGAGACACTACCACTGTAAGTGGCGTTTGTAAATTTCACAACGGATGCGGTACACACAGCTCTTTCCTCCACCAAAATTGAGGAAGAGAAGTGGCATTATGGTCAAGGCACAGGAAGTGTGCTGGACGATTTTTCACAGTTACCCATAACGCCACAGTACTGACTCAGTCCTGTAGCGTCACGGAGGGGGGGGGGATACTCAGATCCAATTTTAATTATAATATTCAAGTTTAAAAAATGCCAGTACAATATGTATCACCAGTGGTGGCTTTTCCTCAACGTTTGCCAATTCAAAACACCTGAAACCAAGAAGATATGTTTCCACGTTGCATCTGTTTTCAAATCAGTGAATGAACATACACGTATAGGCTCAGCTATTTAAAAAACAAAATTGCTTTAAGATTGTTTGAAGTTGATTGTTCTTATGCCTCCACCCTCCCACTTTAAACAAGATCACGCTGCCAGGTTGCATTGCAGCAGACATCTACTGCATATCTGTGAAAACGAGCTTTATAGCTCATCGGATTCCTCCAATATAGTCTGATTATCTGCGTACCTTTTACCCACAGCTCCTAATATCCGTGGGGGCTGTTTGGTCTGCACCCTTAGTCTTCCTATTATCCAGAATTATATCCCATCCTGCAGCTTGGGGGCGCTTCACATTATCCACAATTTTATTATCCAGGAGTTGTCCGGAAAATGTACCCTATTATTTGTTGGTTATCTGACATTTTTCGCGCATGAGTGGAATACCTTTTCGGATTACATTGCGGTTATTAGGATCCGCCATAAATGTGTGGAAATTCTTTCGCATCGTACGTCGCCAAGCGTGCTGATCGGAGGTGCGATATTCGTCCCCCAAATCACCTCGGGAAAGAGAAGTTATGCTCTGTTGTATGACACTGTGCCATGGTCCTATGACCAGCAGCAGTTAACTCCCTTGATCAACTGAAACTATATCCCTCTTCAAAGAATAGCCCATGAATATTGAGTCTTGTGAATGTGTGTAACATATGTTATTCACGTGTGGTGATTAATAACTTAGTGTACTTGTGTATTTGATTATTCCTACAATCTATCTGTACAGTTGACAAATGCTTTAAAGATCTCGTTACAGATGTATTAAAACTCCCTCAATAATTATAGGAAGACGATATTTGAACACAAGGTAATTTGTAATACGTTTGGTATCTGGCCATTTGCCAGTATTAAAAAGTTCCAGGGAAATCCTGCATGCATAACAAATACTGTATAAAAGCACCATAACAACATCAACTGAAAGGAAATTGGAATGACTTTTTGTATTGAACACAAACGCCAATGATTATACATAACAGTACACTATACAAAAGCAGCACATTCCATTCTCCACATGATATTTTGTACTATAGTATGTCTGTGGGTAAGGCTCTTAATGACCGTAACAATGTCTTTACTTGTGGGATATACAGTATGTACTTGATAGAAAAAAATGTGATTTGGCCAACATATAAAAAACCAGGAAGTTCTGATGTACATTCAATACAGTAAAGACACAAGCATGATGGGACAGAGCAGTGGCATAAACATCTGAAGGAATATTTTACTCCAAATACCATTTTAAAAAGTAAACAAGTTAAAGGTGCAGCCCCTCAAGTTGCTTGCTCATACCACTGCTGGCGGAATGGACAGTCCCCTCTGTGCTAACCATTACAGGCAGCATCCGATTGAAAGGCAGTGCAATTGCAAGTAATATTAATATAAAGTGTTTTATTCTACCAGCCACAAGTGTGTAAGAATGCCCTTTATTTAGCCAAGAATGCCTCTCACCAAACCTCAAAACGATTGTCTTCATGAGGATCCTCGCTCAAGGGATATTTACAACTATAATGAGCCAAGAATGTCTGTGTGCCCCGCGTGTGACGTCACTCCACGTCGGCCAGCCCCCCTCATTAATAATCATGAACATGGTGACGTCCTCCAAATGGACACCCCCGACCATTAATATTAATTATCGAGTGACGTCACTCCACATGGGGGGGCGAGGCGCCTCCTCCCCCCCTCCTCGGCGTCAACTGACAGCCCTCACTACAAAGGCAGAACCCTCACGTCATCACGTGATCTCCGTAACGCTGTTGAGACATAGAAGTAAAAAGACGTCATGATGAACAAGGGATTGTAAACTTTCAATGAAATAAGTCTGTGTTACCGCGGCCTTACAAATTGCACACGAATTTATGCAATGAATATCACGTCGCGGTCTGATTTTCGCTTGAAAGTTTCAGATTTACTGCAATACACCCGTCCTTGGACGGGCAAAAGGCTAGTTTGATATAAGGGAAAAACTGGAGTACCAGAAAAAAATAATGAGCATGAGGAGATACCACTCAACGCTCTGCTCAGAAACCTTCAACGATTCATTGCTGTAATGCAATGGATTCTGGCCATATCAAAGCCCAAGCCTACAAACACCTGTTATTCCGAGTAAGTCTCCCACCTAAGTACTAACCAGCCTTAACTTAGCTTATCTTCTGAGATCTTAGTGATCAGGCACATTCAGGGTAATTTAGTCTTAGGTTCGGCCAGATGACTAATTGAGTGTCCAGTAAATGCCAAGGAATAGTTTTACAATTCACATTGCTGGCTGAAAAAGGTTATAAACACAATATAATTGTGTATTGAATATGCATAACCATAATAATATATCATATCAACCATAACCAGTGCAGTGCTGGATGAATGCCTTCCAAAGCTGTCAGCCTCTTTCATGCTCTTGTCATGCAACAATATATTTATATACAAATGCTTATCCCTTGGCATTTCAGGGTCAGTGATTATGTAATTTTCTGCATTACTGAGTTATACACAAGCAGTGGTGTCTATGTGGCACCAAGGCATGACTGTACACGCCACTGATTGTGGTAGGTGGCACGTATACGTACACCATGCAGTAATGTACACTACAATGACAGAAACATTATGCAAACCCGAATGAATGTGTGGATTTTAACAAAGAGACTTGGTTATCAGTTGCCACGCACACGTGGGCTCAGCGAATTGACCTGAAGATAAATAACACGGTGACGTTAATGATCACAGCTAAGCGAAATATAAAACCTTGTATATGTTTGGTCATTTTTGTTATACAGTGCAGGATGAGGGCCTCACCGTGCCACGTGAGCTGCTGGGATTAGCTGCCCATACTTCAACGCACTAGTAGTCAACGTGGGTTAGTCGAGCCGAGAAGTAAAGAGCGATGTCATGAATTTCACTACACTGCCCTCTGCTTCCCCTACACGTAAGCCACTTACAAGAAACTGACATGCACATGGCCACCCATCCAGGCACTATCCAGGTTCAACCCCACTCAGCATTGATGAGATCTGTGCATTTTGGGCCATTTTATCAAAGGCTATACAGTAATGCATTAGAAGAGCTAAATGAAATGTTTTGGCCAATCCCTCATATAATGTCATACGGCATATTTACCTGTATATTATAGATGCTACTGTATTGCAATATATTTACCTGCACATTTTAGGCACAATTGTACAACACACGATTATGCCAAAAAAATATATCAGTTTGAAAATGTGGAAAACTATATTGTCTTGTTTGTATAGGTCTGGCAGCACTGAAGAAATTATATAACAAAAAAATCTAAACAGCGTGCATTTCAGGTGAACGGGACACATCTCCGGTTACCGCCGGTGTCAGGGAAAATCTGAAACCACCAGGACCCATTCACATCTGTAAACTAAGAGCATAGGGCATATGACCGTGCATGTATTCAATGTATTATAAGAAAAGCAGGGCTTTTCACAGACGAGCATTTCAGGCTTTAACCTGAACCAAAATAATCCCATTTCAGTGTGTCTGGCGAGATGACACTGTGCAGTTTGACATAACTCGCAAATGTCTTTATGCAGTGCCGTGGCTCATAGTGGGTTTTTTCTTTAAATGCGTTTTCTAAAAGTAAATATAAAGCGCATTTTTGTATTTTAAGACTGACCTTTCATGAATAAAACTTCCATCGATAACAATGTACGTGTATTCTAACAATTGCCAAACAATTTGAACCCTAAAACCGTACAAACATATTACATATGTGGGATATTAAACGGACAGTCGAAATTGTAATTGAGCAATAATACGTATTGTATTCATCCTGTGAAGCCTGGACTGAGCTCGACTGTTTTTTTTTAATGACGGTTCGATTCCCAGCCTTGGCAAACCAGTGGTGATCGATAACTGTGCAACCCCGATCCTCACTAACCTTCACCGACCTGTACCGACCAACAAGATAAAGTATCGTCAAAAAAACCTCCACGGTTTATATGGCGTGGAGACGAAGCCTCCATCCAGGAGTGGAAGTACAGGGGGTCTGAACGATAAGCGTCATGTCGAACATGCCAAACGTTGACGCACGTGTGATCGTGGCAAGACAGGGCACGTGAGGCGTCTTGGGACACACGCCCAGTTGCCAAGTAAAATCTGCCACACACACACAGGACACTCCCTCAGATGGAGCTGTCCTGCTAAGCTCCGGAAAAAAATATCCACCCCCTGTCAGAGGTAGGGGGCAGTTGTCTGGGGATTTGGGGGGGGTCCCAGGAAAATGTCATGAAAGATTAAGCCCTGGAAATGTCCATATAAAACCCAATGTACATGTACGGTTACGTTTTGCTAATCCACTGCTGGATGGTCTCCTCTCCACGCCGTGCGGGTCGTGGTAAGGGGGGGTGTATTTGACCATACTTCACCACACTCTTTGGTTCTATTCCGTAAAGTCACGTAGGTAAAAAATAAAACAACAAAAATCACGACGTTTCGGCCACAACACAAGTGGCCTTCATCAGGCGAAGGGACCGTACTGTCCACGTTAGTAAGTGCAGACTTGATGTTGTTTGTTATCAGCTACGTCCGGACGGGACTGGAACTCAGGTAGTCCACAAGGCAGTGGTCCACTCACGGCTGCATCACCACTCCCCCCCAGGCACGTGGCAAGAACACAGAAATAACAATAGTAACGGTGATGATGGCCATGCCTCGGTTGGCATTAGATGCGAATGAAGTTCAACATTCATACGTAGGGCTGTCCCGTGCTGTCAAACCATACAGTAGTCCCCGCTCGCCCATTTAACCGTGCAGTCATGCATGGCGATGAGTCTATGATGCCAGTAGTATCCAGGCTCAAACCTGCTGAGCTTCCGAGATTAGACGCATTCCGAGTTTATTTTCTCCAAAACCGGAAAACCATTATCACCATCATCCTCCCTTCCCCTCCAAGTTCCTAAACACGGTGTAACCTTTCTCAACTCGGGACGCGTACTGCACGTACAGGTGTGTGTCACGCAAGCTCGCATCCATTCTACAAAATACGAAGAGAGTGGCGATGTTTGTTGCCGGCCGCTCTGGTGTCGTTTTCGGGCCTCCTTGCGTGTGCCACACCGCGCTTGCCGACACCGCGGTCCTTTTAAATCGTCAACGGCAAGTCGGTGTGTCAAGTCGGTGTGCACGTTGATGAACGTAAATCCGTGCGAATTGTCAACGCTGCTGATACACACACACGACAAAGAACCCCCGTGTAGCCTGTAACAGACTGAAGGGGCAAGTGCTGTTAGCGAGCAGCACCTATTGAAGGCCGGAATGGTACACGAGGGGGGGGGTGTGGGTGGTCAGCACCACACCCGGCCGCCTTTGTCTCCCCAGTGACGATGTTTACGCACCGCACCAGGTACTCGTTTGAGGCCGAGTAGACCTAGGCGAGGCCCAGGACCGGTTCAGATAATCGTCACGGGTGTTGGGCTGTGAGCGGTAATCGAACTCTGGGTTCGTGGCGCAGCGTAGCGCTAACCGCTGCACCACCGCTCCTCGCACAGCACGCGCCCCACAAGTCACCAAGAGTCGTCGAGAGAGTGACGATGACGACAGTGGCGGCGTCTTCGTGGCCTCGCCTCGTCACCCACCACCACCACCACCTTCATCAGAGTTACACATCTGGGAAACGTTTTACTCACCAGGGGATTCAGACCGCTCGATCACCATCCTCCTCCTCCTGCTGCTGCTGTCAAAGACGACTCTTTCGATCGCGATAACGCTGCCTATGATTTCCTTCGATTGATCGATGACGACGTCAACGACGATAATAACAATAATGGTTAATTAAAAACAGCAAGAAGTGAACTTTTTGAGTCTCCGGCTGAGAGTGAGTGGAGGCAGCGGGCGCGTTGTTTGGCTGAGCGTGACAGCGCGGGTTGCCGTGGCGACGAGACGCAGGGCACCCTCCTCCCCTCTCCGCCCTTACAGGGGACCTCGAGCAGCCCCACCACCACCACTCAGCTCACCACACAGCTCACCACTCAGCTCACCACTCAGCCCACCACTCAGCTACCACTCAGCTCACCACGCAGCTTACCACACTCCACAGCTCACCGCTCAGCTCACCACTCAGCTCACCACTCAGCTCACTACACGGGTCACCACTCAGCTCACCACTCAGCTCATCACTCAGCTCACCACTCAGCTCACCACACTCCACAGCTCACCACTCAGCTCACCACACTCCACAGCTCACCACTCAGCTCACCACACTCCACAGCTCACCACTCAGCTCACCACACTCCACAGCTCACCACTCGGCTCACCACACTCCACAGCTCACCACACTAAGCTCACCACACTTCACAGCTCACCACTCAGCTCACCACACTCCACAGCTCACCACAGCTCACCACACTAAGCTCACCACAGCTCACCACACTAAGCTCACCACACTCCACAGCTCACCACTTTCCACAACTCACCACTCAGCTCACCACACTCCACTGCTCACCACACTCCACTGCTCACCACACTCCACAGCTCACCACACTCTACACAGCTCCCAACACAACTCATCACACTCAGCTCACCACATTCCAAAGCTCACAACACAACTCACCACACTCAGCTCACCACATTCCACAGCTCATCACACTCAGCTCACCACACTCCACAGCTCACCACACTAAGCTCACCACACTTCACAGCTCACCACTCAGCTCACCACACTCCACAGCTCACCACAGCTAACCACACTAAGCTCACCACACTCCACAGCTCACCACTTTCCACAACTCACCACTCAGCTCACCACACTCCACTGCTCACCACACTCCACTGCTCACCACACTCCACAGCTCACCACACTCTACACAGCTCCCAACACAACTCATCACACTCAGCTCACCACATTCCAAAGCTCACAACACAACTCACCACACTCAGCTCACCACATTCCACAGCTCATCACACTCAGCTCACCACATTCCACAGCTCACAACTCTTAGCTCACCACACTCCACTGCTCACCACACTCCACAGCTCACCACGCTCAGCAGGTTTAAGCCTGGATACTACTGGCATCATAGACTCAACACAATGCATGACTGCACGGTTAAATAGGGGAGCGGGGACCACTACTTTCGCACCTAATGCCATCCTGATCATGGCCATCATCACCATTGGGTAGACTAATGTCTTTCAGTGTTCTTAACACAATTTATAAACGTGCGTTTAGAGATTTTATCTGCTACACATGTCCACGTGATCGGCCAATTTCTTGAACTATCATTCGTGATAGTCAGGTCGCTTCTGAAAAATACCTTTATAGCTCAGTTTGTTTCAATTACCTTTTATTGTTCACTTAATGCTTTCGTGACTGCAGGAATTCATATTCTTTGGGTCTTTCGGTAAAGTCACGGAGATAGGTTAAAAGAAAATAACAAATAACAACTACCACGTTTCGATCGCAACACAAGCGTTCGTCATCACGCTTGTGTTGCGATCGAAACGTCGTAGTTTTAATAATGTAATTTTTAGGTTATTTCCTTTGAACCTATCAACGTGACTTTCCCGAAAGACCCAAAGAATATCACCTTTAATTATTTTCACAACTTTTGCGCTGCAGAAAGGCATCAGCAGGGGGCGCATATGGCAAGCAAGTGGAGAGCAGAACCCATGTGGATCAGTTAAAGTCTTCTTCATTAACCTCACCCTAATCTAACCCGAGCCTATCCTGACTCTAACCTAACCGTAACCTACCCCTAAACTAGCTCTAACCTAACGCTAACCGACCCCAGACATAATCCTAATCCTAACACTAACCGAAGCCTTATATAAAATGAGGCTAGAATGTAAAAGATAATTTGGCGGATCCTTACAATCGGTGGCTCATGCCAATGCTGGCAGAAGGCCCTACAGTAATGGAGATCGAGTCAGTTACCTAGATGGTGTTTTGGCCTGCTCCTCCATGCGGGCCAGACATCTTGTAAGAGATGCGAGTACTCAGACTTGACCCCACCGCACGCGACCTGACAATCGACTAACTGTGCACAACAGATTTACGCGGCGAGGTGGAGAGTGGCGATGAGGATTTAAGCAACCTGCCCCGTTCTTTCAAACACCGCACCGAGATCTCTAACCGGTGGTGACCTCTGGATTTCAAGTTCATTTCGCTACCCACCAAGTGATTTCGGCACCACCTGAGCTGTATTTTTTTATTGACGATAAAAACCGATCATCTTAAATTGAATATCCAAACTGGTAAGAGCCAGGTGATTGAGTGGCGTTTACCATTCAAACTTTTGGGGCTGACAGAGGCGGGGTGAGGATCAACTGCCGCGCCGCTAGATCGAACTGGCAACCACCGCATTTGCCAGTCGAATGCGGGAACGAACAACACCACGGCAACATCATTCCAATGTGTGTGCGGAATTCCATCTTTATTGAGAAAGTATCAATTCTCTTTGTGAATGCGTATTAACGTTGTTCACTTGGCACCATTGTTGCGTGTTCAGTCTCCATTCACGGTCGTTGATGACAAAGAGAACGAAAACGGAAGGGGTGCACACACAATACTAGGATGATCTTGATTTAAAAAAATATGTAAATCAATGGGGCATTACTCTCTGGTTCTTTCGGTACAGTCGCGTAGGTAGAAACAAAATAATAATAATAGATCACGACGTTTCGATCGCAACACAAGCGACCGTTCTCAGGCGGAAAAAAACAGCGAGAGAGCTGTTACAACAAGGTGATAAAGGTTATAACCTTGTTGTAACAGCGAGAGAGCTGTTACAACAAGGTGATAAAGGTTATAACCTTGTTGTAACAGCGAGAGAGCTGTTACAACAAGGTGATAAAGGTTATAACCTTGTTGTAACAGCGAGAGAGCTGTTACAACCTTGTTTTAAGAGCTGTTACAACAAGGTTGAAACAGTGGAACTGCTCGTTCAGCAGTTCAACTGCTGGATTATTTTTTCCTCCTAAGGATGACCGCTTGTGTTGCGATCGAAACGTTGTGATCTATTATTTTTATAATAATAGATCACAGACACTCGCCAGTGGAGTGGACAACCTCCCGTTGCCATGGCTACGGGGCGGCCCGTTGGGTTCCAACCGTGGACTGTCGTTACGAACCAGTGGGCCACGTGACCACCCCACGTGGTTGAACACGTGGGCCACAGTCGAGTCTTACGAGGAGGAGCAGTGCAGCCGCTCTCTGCTGTTGTGATCGCGATCGAACGGCAAAGATGGATGTGTCCAGATGCAACCCGTACCAAGTGATGCTCACGATGGCGTCTTTAGTCGGATTTGTCACTTGGCAAGGGGTGATGGAGCCGGCCATCTGGCTGCCACCCTCCATACTAAAGGTGAGCGATCACCTGGGGGTTAATTCCCTGATTGGATATCTCGATAACCTGGGTGGCAATGCTGCTAGTCTTGGAAATCCCGATGATCTTGGTGGCAATGCTGCTCTTCTTGGAAATCCCGATGATCTTGGTGGCAATGCTGCTCTTCTTGGAAATCCCGATGATCTTGGTGGCAGTGCTGCTCTTCTTGGAAATCCCGATGATCTTGGTGGCAGTGCTGCTCCTCTTGGAAATCCCGATGATCTTGGTGGCAATGTTGCTCTTCTTGGAAATCCCGATGATCTTGGTGGCAATGTTGCTCCTCTTGGAAATCCCGATGATCTTGGTGGCAATGCCCCCATGGCATATGCCGACTTTGCTTCGACCGATTTTCCGAGCCAATCGATACCGGACAGCAACGAGAGAGAAGACGTCCCCGCCGAGCAGAGGCCGTGCGACATTCAACCACCGCCGGAGCCGCGAGAGCAGCACCGACATAGCCTCTTGTCGACCGTCATCTCCGCAATCAGCACGGGATTCAGTGCAGTGCAAGTGATCGCGTGGATTTGGGCACGCAAGGTACGTTCATCGCACCGCCGCACTACAACAGTCAAATAACACTTTAGCGTGGGGGTAGCGGTCAACTTTAAAATAAGTTAATATCAAATTTGTATACAGTAGATCGATCCCGGAGGGCATTTTGGTCGATTTGAGGCCGCCTCCCCCGCTACTCCCCTGCGCCCCCGCTACCCCCTCCGCTACCCCCCCACTACCCCCTCCGCTACCCCCCCCCCACTATCCCCACCGCTACCCCCCTCCGCTACCCCTCTCCGCTACCCCCCTCCGCTACCTCCCCTGCACACTCCCCCTCTACAACCACCACCACCCGAACCAACCCAACCCCGTTTTGGAGGCAGGTACGGGGGACCTGAACAGCGTCAGAATCTCTCTTGAGACTGGAGCAGTCCGATAAGCTATGAGGCTGTTTTAGTCTTTCACAGACGTCCAGTATGGGCGGGTCAGCAAGTTGTAGCGGCAAACAGAGCCGCGGGGCCTGCAGGAGAATGTGCGAGGCCTATAACAGGTCTCTATTCGGATGTTGCTGGCACGGCATCGGACAGGCGCATTAGCTAGTGAGCAGATGAGGCGACGTGACACATCGTGACTTAGTCGTTGTGTCCCTCTGGCCGCGGAGGGTGATGTGGGTGCGGACTGGGATGGTGGGGAGTTTTGGCCATACTTCACCTGGCTAGTCATTAGATCCGGTTCAGGGAGAGGGACGGACAGAGCGCATGCCCGGAGCTCCGTTTGTTTAAAATCATGGCCAGACGCGCAGCACGGCGTGATTCAGAAGTGTGCAGGGAAAGTTCGTTGTAAAGTGTTGCTCAGAGCAGTGTTGTGTAATTATTCAAGAAACACCTCTTACGTTTTATAATACGAGCAAATTAGGAATCAACGAGCTAGCATAAATAATGTTCGTACCTGTACGTCGAGTAATGTTTCTGAACTCCATTTGGAAATACGGAGCGTGAAGAGTTTTTTTTTGCATGCCAGAGATTCCACATCGTTAACGGGAGTGCGTGTGTGTGCCTCTTATTGTGCATCTTGGCTGTTGCTCTGAGAACAGAAGCCGCGTGATGGCGGCCTGAGCCCACAATTGGTGCGGAAGGCGTTTGTCTACAATTCCAAGGCCCGCTATTTCCAAAGGAGGAACCCGCGTGGGGTGAGTCGCAACACTGGGGGCGCACACAGCCGACAACACAACGCTCGTTGCTCGCGATCCACCGATGAGTCCCAGTGAGAAACGATCACGGGGAAACATTTATTATACTTCTTTTGTTCTTTCGGTAAAGTCACGTAGAATGAGAATAAAATAATAAATTGATAAAATAACACAATAATATTCTCACGACGTTTCGGCCATAGCGGGAAACAGAGCCGTGGGGCCGAAACGTCGTGAGAATATTTTTGTGTTATTTTATTTTATCAATTTATTATTTTATTCTCATTCTACGTGACTTTACCGAAAGAACCAAAGAAGATGAATCATTGCAGTCACGAAAGCTTTAAATCGAAATTTATTATACTTTTGATTTAAAGCTTTCGTGACTGCAGTAATTCATATTCTTAGCTCTTTCAGTAAAGTCACGTTGAAGGGAAACAATAAAATATATAATATATAAACAATAATATATTTCTATATATTTTATTATTTTATAAAGTCACGTTGAAGGGAAACAATAAAATATATAATATATAAACAATAATATATATTTATATATTATATATTTTATTGTTTCCCTGAATATTATTGTGTTATTTTATTTTATCAATTTATTATTTTATTCTCATTCTACGTGACTTTACCGAAAGAACCAAAGAAGATGAATCATTGCAGTCACGAAAGCTTTAAATCGTAATTTATTATTCTTTTGATTTAAAGCTTTCGTGACTGCAGTAATTCATATACTTAGCTCTTTCAGTAAAGTCACGTTGAAGGGAAACAATAAAATATATAATATATATAAATAATATAAATATATAAAAATATAAATAATATATATAAATATATTTTTGTTCATATATTATATATTTTATTGTTTCCCTTCAACGTGACTTTATAAAATAATAAAATATATAGAAATATATATTATTGTTTATATATTATATATTTTATTGTTTTCCTTCAACGTGACTTTACCGAAAGAGCTAAGAACATGAATTACTGCAGTCACGAAAGCTTTAAATCAAAAGTATAATAAATTTCGATTTAGAGCTTTCGTGACTGCAATGATTCATCTTCTTTGGTTCTTTCGGTAAAGTCACGTAGAATGAGAATAAAATAATAAATTGATAAAATAAAATAACACAATAATATTCTCACGACGTTTCGGTCCCGCGGCTCTATTTCCCGCTATGGCCGAAACGTCGTGAGAATATTATTGTGTTATTTTATTTTATCAATTTATTATTTTATTCTCATTCTACGTGACTTACCGAAAGAACAAAAGAAGTATAATAAATGTTTCCCCGTGAATATATATAATATATTATTGTAATATATTATTGTTTAATATATAAACAATAATATATATTTCTATATATTTTATTATTTTATAAAGTCACGTTGAAGGGAAACAATAAAATATATATTATTGTTTATATATTATATATTTTATTGTTTCCCTTCAACGTGACTTTACCGAAAGAGCTAAGCATATGAATTACTGCAGTCACGAAAGCTTTAAATCAAAAGTATAATAAATTTCGATTTAAAGCTTTCGTGACTGCAATGATTCATCTTCTTTGGTTCTTTTGGTAAAGTCACGTAGAATGAGAATAAAATAATAAATTGATAAAATAAAATAACACAATAATATTCTCACGACGTTTCGGCCCCGTGGCTCTGTTTCCCGCTATGGCCGAAACGTCGTGAGAATATTATTGTGTTATTTTATTTTATCAATTTATTATTTTATTCTCATTCTATGTGACTTTACCGAAAGAACAAAAGAAGTATAATAAATGTTTCCCCGTGAATATATATATAATATATTATTGTTTAATATATAAACAATAATATATATTTCTATATATTTTATTATTTTATAAAGTCACGTTGAAGGGAAACAATAAAATATATAATATATAAACAATAATATATATTTTATTATTTTATAAAGTCACGTTGAAGGGAAACAATAAAATATATAATATATAAACAACAATATATTTTTCGATTTAACGCTTTCGTGACTGCAATGATTCATCTTCTTTGGTTCTTTCGGTAAAGTCACGTAGAATGAGAATACAATAATAAATTGCTAAAGTTGAGGGTAAGAATCCACCCATTTTTTCGCCATATAGCATTGTGATATATAACGACTTATTGTTGGTAGCTTAGCTGATTGGAGAATATAGAGTTTATTGATAACATTAAGGTAATTTATATTTTAGTTTTTATTGGTTCACTATATAGTACTGTGAATAGCTCAGATGTGTAGGCCTTGACTTCAACATAGTCATTTCTGTGACCAGTCACTAGCTAATCACTCAGTTATTTCAATGCTAAATTCGCCTAGTTATTTCAATGCTAAATTCTCCTGTTTGATTTGTACTAAGTGCCTCGGTGAATGTGTATGGTCTGACTTTAACGTAGCTATTTCTGTGAGCAGTTACAAGCTAATCACTCAGCTATTTCAATGCTAAATTCTATGCTAATTCCATTGTCAAGGGGTGCCTCTGCGGATGTGTATGCTTTAACTTAGCTATTTCAATTGCTAAATTCTATGCTAATTCCATTGTCAAGGGGTGCCTCTGCAGATGTGTATGCTTTAACTTTTAACATAACTATTTCTGTGACCAGTCACAAGCTAATCATTCAGCCATTTCAATGCTAAATTATATGCTAATTCCTTTGTCAAGGCGCTTTGTTCCTCTCACACAGCTTAAAAGCCGTAATCTGAACGTGGCTCTTTCACTCCAGCGCTGTCCTACCAGACAGTCTCGTCCCTTCACCTGATGAAGGCCGCTTGTGTTGTGGCCGAAACGTCGTGAAAATATTATTGTGTTATTTTATTTTATCAATTTATTATTTTATTCTCATTCTACGTGACTTTATCGAAAGAACCAAAGAAGAACAATATATTTATATATATTTTATTATTTTCTTGTTTCCCTTCAACGTGACTTTACCGAAAGAGCTAAGAATATTTATTATACTCTTTGGTTCTTTCGGTAAAGTCACGTAGGTAGAAAAATAATAGATCACGACGTTTCGATCGCAACACAAGCAATCGTCATCAGGTGGGACAACCACAGCAAGACCACCTGATGACGATTGCTTGTGTTGCGATCGAAACTTCGTGATCTATTGTTTTTCTACCTACGTGACTTTTACCGAAAGAACCAAAGAAAATGGATTCCTGCAGTCACGAAAGCTTCAAATCAAGATTGAAACAAATATTGTTTGACTGGGTATTGCATTGTACATTCCTGCATCATACATTATACATCACACATTCTTGAAGATATGCCATGCGTATAAATTTTGGGTTGGATTGGAAATTGAGCTGTGTACATATCTGTCCATTCCATCCCTGGATTCCTCCCCTATCCATAAATGGTTCTGCATTCACGTGAGCCTATTGTTACAGTTGTCATTGTGAAGCTGACGGTGATTCTGATCACAGTTCTGTAGTATAAATATACACAGGTCTGTGCGTAACTCCGTACGATTGCAGCAGCTGAAATAGAACGCGACTTTGTCCCGCGTGCAAACCCAGGTGATGGTTATCCGCACGCTTCTCGTCAGCAAGGAGGACGCTGGGAGGCCCCGCAAGATGAAAGACTTCGCTGGCAGCGTGATGACCGGAAGAAGACGTGTCCAAGACGGCGGTGGCCCAGCGAAGACAACGAGCCCTTGGAGTCTTCCCAGCCTGCCAAGCTGGATTCGGCGGCAATAGCGAAATCGGGATAGAACTGTTATAAAACTGGGGGAAAAAAAATAATAATAACAAAAACATGTTCATTTATTATCTACTACAATAAATATTTATTTCCGAAGAAAATCACTTGTGATATTTCTTCTTGGTTGGTTCACTGCTTTATTTACACACCTGTGTTAAAATCCTATGGTTTACAATGTTTTTAAAAATAAAACTCATAATTAAGGCTATGGGGTTGTCACAGAAGCCGCGGTCATCACGTGAGTTGTGAATTTCAGGTCCGCTATAACCTGGACACGACTGCAGAAATATTCAATCAAGCGCTCTCGAAGTTGGACTATCAGTAAAGAGGAGCCCTGGCAACCACGAGCAATTGGTCCTGTGCAGATACACGCAGACACAGAGATACTACCACGTTACAGACACGGAGATACACAGCGATACAGAAGCACAGATACCACACTCTATAGCTCACCACACTCTACAGCTCACCACACTCCACTAGCTCACCACACTCCAAAGTTCACAACAACTTACCACACTCAGCTCACCACACTCCACAGCTCACAACACTCCACAACTCACCACACTCCACAGCTCACCACTCTTAGCTCACCACACTCCACAGCTCACCACACAACTCACCACACTCCACAGCTCACCACTCTTAGCTCACCACACTCCACAGCTCACCACACAACTCACCACACTTCACAGCTCACCACACAACTCACCACACTTCACAACTCAACACTCCACAGCTCACCACACCCCACCGCTCACCACACAACTCACCACACTCAACACACCACACTCCACAGCTCACCACACTCCACAGCTCCCCAGACTCCAAAGCTCACCACACTCAACTCACCACACTCCCCACGCTATCGCTATGAGCCCCACATGCCGCTCACCACACTCATGGTATGAGTAAATTAAGTGAAGTTATTTCCTTTAGCTCATCGTCTGCTTGCAGCCCTAAGCCAGTGGTGGAAGTTCCACATTCCTGTGGCGGAGCCAAAGGCAGTACTTATTTCAGCTTTCCTGAGGGGATAATGGGCTAAGTTAACCACCATCCATGGACGTTAACTAGTAATCTTCCGATTAGCTCAACTGGCACTGGATTAGATTAGATGGGATCCCGGGGTTGGTAATATGCGCCACGGAGGCGAGATTTAACTCTCGCACCTGGCATACAGGATCCCGACCCTGACGCCTGCTGGATATTTGGAGTTTGCATGCCTCTCTCCCTGTGGTCGTGTGGATTTTTCTCCTGGTCCCTCCGGCTTTTCCCCCTCCACAATTAGAAACACTTCGTTTGAGCTATTTTGTGATAGCAGGTCACATCTGAAAACAAATGGCTATATTGCTCAGTTGGCCTTACCTGGTAAAATAAATAGTAGTTCATAGCTTTGGGAGGCCCTCTCTGGCAATTTCAATATCTTGTCTTTATTGTTTTACTACCACCAATGGTCATTACCAACACTGTTGTTATTTACCTTGGATATGTAATTTCTTTTTAACACGTAGGCTTTCGCGACCAATATTATTCATAATAAAGGTTTTTGGGTTAGATCGCGTTTATTTATAAATGTGTCGTAACCCTCCACCACCCGACACGGCCAATCAGCAAAAAAAGTGTCACGTTGACAAAAGACAAATAATTCACTACTTTAGCCCACCGGTGTGTTGAAGAGTGAATCCACATTTACAGTTTGAGTACGACGTTTCGCTGGTAAATACATCCAGCATCATCGGGCAATTTGCCAGAATGGTAAAGCCCTCGCTTGCTCCCGGTTTTATATAGAGCAGCAGGGTGACGTCATCACTTAACTCATATCAGGTGCAGTGATTAGAGGCGGAGGGGGGGTATTGTAATTATATAATCGATTAGTAATCAGTCATTGGTTATGATTAGTAATGAGTTCTCTAATTAGTCTTTGCCAGTAATAATTAGTTTTACACACCACTGCAACATTGTCAAAATCAATTGAGTGTCCTTGTTGACAAGCATGTTCTGCCACTGCCGACAGTTGTGTTTGAGATAATTTAATATTTCTCTGATGTTCTTTTAGTCTTACGCTGATGTTACGTCCCGTCTGCCCAATGTAGCAGCTGCCACATAAACAATTAATCCGATATACACCTTCTGTTGATAATTTAGGTAATGCTTCTTTAGTGCAAGATACTAGTTTTTGAATTTTGTGTACTGTACCAAATCTTACTGTAATGTTTTGCTTTTGCAAAACACGGGCTAATTTGTCAGTTACTCCTGAGATGTATGGAATTTTTATTGTTTTAACAATCTGGTCGCTTTCAGCAGTATTGCTTTGCGATCGTGATTTGGCATTCAGTGCTCTGTTAATTTGAGCATTATTGTAGCCATTCTGTCGTAGTGCGTCTTTAACGTGCTTAATCTCTCTCACTAGACTCTCACCATCTGACACTGTTTTAGCCCGATGTATGAGCGTCTTGATAAGAGAGGATTTCTGAGCTGGATGATGATGTGATTCTGCATTCAGATAGGCATCAGTGTGCGTTTGCTTTCTGTAAACGCTGTGTGTTATTTTACCGTTTAAGCCATGTCCAAGCAAAATATCTAGGAATGGGAGTGTGTTATTCACCTCCATTTCCATGGTGAACTGGATGGCCGGATTTTGTGCATTGAGATGATTTAGAAAATCATTAAGTGTATCTTTACCATGTGGCCAGACAACCAAAGTGTCATCCACATATCTAAACCAAAAGGATGGTTTTAATGTGCTCGAGGCAAGTGCTCTTATTTCAAAGTTTTCCATGTACAAATTTGCTATAGCAGGGGATAAAGGAGAACCCATTGCTGCTCCTTCCTTTTGTTTAAAGAAATCCCCTCTCCATAAGAAGTAAGTGTTATTTAAACAATGGCCAGCAAGTTTCGGAATATCTTTTGGTAAACCGGTATTCTTTACTAGTGTATCAAGTAATATAAAACCTTGTATATGTTTGGTCATTTTTGTTATCCAGTGCAGGATGAGGGCCTCACCGTGCCACGTGAGCTGCTGGGATTAGCTGCCCATACTTCAACGCACTAGTAGTCAACGTGGGTTAGTCGAGCCGAGAAGTAAAGAGCGATGTCATGAATTTCACTACACTGCCCTCTGCTTCCCCTACACGTAAGCCACTTACAAGAAACTGACATGCACATGGCCACCCATCCAGGCACTATCCAGGTTCAACCCCACTCAGCATTGATGAGATCTGTGCATTTTGGGCCATTTTATCAAAGGCTATACAGTAATGCATTAGAAGAGCTAAATGAAATGTTTTGGCCAATCCCTCATATAATGTCATACGGCATATTTACCTGTATATTATAGATGCTACTGTATTGCAATATATTTACCTGCACATTTTAGGCACAATTGTACAACACACGATTATGCCAAAAAAATATATCAGTTTGAAAATGTGGAAAACTATATTGTCTTGTTTGTATAGGTCTGGCAGCACTGAAGAAATAATATAACAAAAAATCTAAACAGCGTGCATTTCAGGTGAACGGGACACATCTCCGGTTACCGCCGGTGTCAGGGAAAATCTGAAACCACCAGGACCCATTCACATCTGTAAACTAAGAGCATAGGGCATATGACCGTGCATGTATTCAATGTATTATAAGAAAAGCAGGGCTTTTCACAGACGAGCATTTCAGGCTTTAACCTGAACCAAAATAATCCCATTTCAGTGTGTCTGGCGAGACGACACTGCAGTTTGACATAACTCGCAAATGTCTTTATGCAGTGCCGTGGCTCATAGTGGTTTTTTTCTTTAAATGCGTTTTCTAAAAGTAAATATAAAGCGCATTTTTGTATTTTAAGACTGACCTTTCATGAATAAAACTTCCATCGATAACAATGTACGTGTATTCTAACAATTGCCAAACAATTTGTACCCTAAAACCGTACAAACATATTACATATGTGGGATATTAAACGGACAGTCGAAATTGTAATTGAGCAATAATACGTATTGTATTCATCCTGTGAAGCCTGGACTGAGCTCGACTGTTTTTTTTAATGACGGTTCGATTCCCAGCCTTGGCAAACCAGTGGTGTTCGATAACTGTGCAACCCCGATCCTCACTAACCTTCACCGACCTGTACCGACCAACAAGATAAAGTATCGTCAAAAAAACCTCCACGGTCTACATGGCGTGGAGACGAAGCCTCCATCCAGGAGTGTAAGTACAGGGGGTCTGAACGATAAGCGTCATGTCGAACATGCCAAACGTTGACGCGCGTGTGGTCGTGGCAAGACAGGGCACGTGAGGCGTCTTGGGACACACGCCCAGTTGCCAAGTAAAATCTGCCACACACACACAGAACACTCCCTCAGATGGAGCTGTCCAGGCTAAGCTCCGGAAAAAAATATTCACCCCCTGTCAGAGGTAGGGGGCAGTTGTCTGGGGATTTGGGGGGGGGGTCCCAGGAAAATGTCATGAAAGATTAAGCCCTGGAAATGTCCATATAAAACCCAATGTACATGTACGGTTACGTTTTGCTAATCCACTGCTGGATGGTCTCCTCTCCACGCCGTGCGGGTCGTGGTAGGGGGGGGGGTGTATTTGACCATACTTCACCACACTCTTTGGTTCTATTCCGTAAAGTCACGTAGGTAAAAAATAAAACAACAAAAATCACGACGTTTCGGCCACAACACAAGTGGCCTTCATCAGGCGAAGGGACCGTACTGTCCACGTTAGTAAGTGCAGACTTGATGTTGTTTGTTATCAGCTACGTCCGGACGGGACTGGAACTCAGGTAGTCCACAAGGCAGTGGTCCACTCACGGCTGCATCACCACTCCCCCCCAGGCACGTGGCAAGAACACAGAAATAACAATAGTAACAGTGATGATGGCCATGCCTCGGTTGGCATTAGATGCGAATGAAGTTCAACATTCATACGTAGGGCTGTCCCGTGCTGTCAAACCATACAGTAGTCCCCGCTCGCCCATTTAACCGTGCAGTCATGCATGGCGATGCATCTATGATGCCAGTTGCATCCAGTCTCAAACCTGCTGAGCTTCCGAGATCAGACGCATTCCGAGTTTATTTTCTCCAAAACCGGAAAA